ATACATGTTTACTTATTTCCAGTTTTGTATACCTATTAAACTTTATGTAAGTTATTTGTTATTTTATATTAGGCATAGCTTGCCCTATAGCATGGTGTATTTGTATTTGTTTTGTTAATGAAAGTTCTATGTTTTATATATACGCTAAAGTGAGTTTGATGTTGTATTTTGTTGTTGCATTCAAGCGATTGACGCCTAACTGCCAATAATTCGAAAGTGAAAGTAAAATGCGCACGGCGCTTTTAAGCTATTTAAAAGCGAAGGAAAGCGAGGAGAAGAGGGAAAATTCAAATGAACTAAAAACGAACAATTGCTTTACTCCGAATTGCCGCTATTTGAAAGTTAAAGTAAAATGGGCACACCGCTTTTACAAGCTATTTAAAAGCGAAGGAAAGCAAGGAAAAGAGGGAACGCCCCCGCGGTGATACCAGTGTTGTCACACGTCGATTAACCGGTGGGAAAATTTCCTCACCGTCACAACCCTAGTAGACACTAGAAAGACTCAACCTGTTGCGACGCGGCAGTGTCGCGTCCGGTGTAGAAGCGGCTCACTGTTCCGCTACTGTTATTACTGTTATTACACTTGTATACAAAACTTCGTATTATGCTTGTTATAGAGTGCATGACGTCACGTGCACTACCGCCGGTGGCAAGCGACCACCGCGGTGACGCGGTTGTCACGGCGACCGTCACAGCCCTATGAGCCACCCAAACTATTGCTCAGCCAAATACAGGAAAATCTAACACCTTGAACCATGAAACTTTCAAGTACCAAAACACTGAACTTGCACATGAATATAATATATCAAAAGTTCAACAAAATGAGTAGGAAAAAAATACTTTCTGAAATAAAATAAAGTTCTATGTCACTTTGCATACGGTTTTAGTCATGTTTTCCCAGCAGTGTGTAAAATCCAAAGTGTTTCCACACTTGGGATTCAAAACGTGAAGGTGCAGAAATAATTCTGGAAGAGGTTCGCTCTCGCTGATGTCATACGCCGATTGGTCTGTGCGCGGCTGCTTCAAGTCGAACACACCTATACATTATACATTTTGTTGGAATAAAAGCGCCAACTTCTCCCGACCACCTCTTAGGAAAAGTAAAATAATTAAATATAAATCAATTCTGAGTTTTTAAAAGAATCGTGATAGTTAGGTGAATCGATTTTTTCTCCCACCCCTAGTACATATATGTGCAATATGCAATATAACATAATAATTATTATTAATATAAATAATATAATAAATCATTACTAATACTAATTCTCTGCATGTGGATATAAATGAAAATTAATATTGGGGGTGGAGGGGTTATATTGCATTGCATGTTCTAATCTATATTGTGTCTCTTTGTACTGAACTGATTTTTTAAAATAAAAAATATATAAAAAATATTTTAATGTATATTTTTGAATTGTTGCTTATATGCAATAACATTACAAACACAATATTTTTTAAATATAACAGATTATATAATATTTTTGATACAGGCAACAGGAGGGAATTCTTGATTTCAGACTCACTTGTAGATTTGATAACTTGTGCGTATTTTGATTCCTCCTTTAATAAAACTGATCATGTTTTCATCCTGAAATACAGAAAATGGTGATGAATGAGATTGTGTCTTTGTATATTTCTCTTATATTTTACCTTATTTAATGCTGATTAATAAAAACAATTAGGGTTCACTGACCTGCACGAATGTCAGCGTGGCTTTCTGCAGCAAACACTCAGCGTAGCAGATCTCCGCATGCATCTCGTCTACACACACACACACACACACACACACACACACAAACGCACGCATGCACGCACACGCACACACACATTTTATTATTTTATTTGGATTCACAAGACAAGCAACAAAAATGGAATCCAAATACCTTGATTAAATGCCACTGATTAAATGTAAGAATTTAATTCAAAAGATGATGCACACTTTTCTAAAAATGGCTTTATAAAGGTAAAAATGCCCATAAAAGGTAAAAATCGATTTAAACTTATTGGAAAAGATTAATTTCTATCAGTGTGAACTGACCACAGCACAGAATATAAAGAATATTAAAAACTTTAGGAGTCAGCTGTCCACGGCAGTCCTTAAGATACCAGCACAATAACACATTCAGCAATTATCGTTATCGATAAAATCCCAGAAAAAAGCGAGATATTATTTTTTGTCAATACTGCACAGCCCTAATTCAGACGTGTTTCCCAGCACACACTCAGCGTCTCAGACGGCTCACCTGCTTTCAGGCTGTCTGGCGACTGTTTGGACATCAGGCTGGAGATGGACCCCACCACCGAGTTTCGTTTCCTGAACCTGCAGACAGACGGGACACAGATCAGAAGCAGAACGCGTCCGAAGCGTCTCATACTGGACGTCGTGATCAAGCCGCACCTCTGGCAGGTCTGTAAGGCCTCTTTGATGGTCGCCATCCCGGCCTGGATGTCTTTGTGCTCGAAGGTCATGGTGGCCTGCATGACCAGAATACTGCTGTAGCCCAGAGCGTGATACATGCTGTCCTTAGACCTGCAGAACACACAGAACACCTCCGCATGATCAACAGGAGCTAAACAATCTCAATAAGAGTTGTTTATCCAGTCAGAGCTCTTTTAGTGTAACTGTAGTCAGATCTTGACTGGTTTTGATCAAGTAAAGGTCAGAATAACTGCAGTAATATCTCCAGATGAACTCTTACTGGACTGAAGCAGCTCAGCTTTACTTGATTCTCCATCAATCATGTTTTAGAGTCTCAAATCTGATCCTCAGGATCTTTTGAGGAGCGTTTGTTTCCAGAAGCTTTACTTTCACTGTTCCTCAGCGGAGGAATGATCTTCACAAGCCTCCAGAACATCTCACATCTTCTGAGGAGCCTTTATTTCTTCAGCTCTCAATCACTGCATTATATGCTTGGAGCATTTCACTCTCATCTCACTGAGACAGATTACTGCAGATATAGAGCCACGACTGATATTTAGATCATTTTCAGTATCTGCTCTACTGTTAGAAAGATCTCACTGATTTACATTACAAGC